ACACACACACACACACACACACACACACACACACACACACACACACAAAATCCTAAGCTTTTGTTCTTCTAGATAGAGTGATTTTAGATTTACTTATATTGTTTATCTCAGATCATTGTATGCATTTAATATGTTAATAAGTTAATCATAAGTATTTTAAACCTAGTGTCTTCATCATCTTTTTTTTTTTTTTTTTTTTACTATAGTGGATTGATTCCCAGTGACAATTGTTTTTCCTTAGCCAGTAACACTCACATACTGGTTGAATAAGATAGCTCCCATCTGACGTAGCTTAGAGCCTGGCAAGAGGAACAAATCATTATTTTAAAAGCATTAAATGAATTTGTGGTTTCTTTAAACGTTCAAAGCACAATAAGCCGGACAGGCAAGTCAGGAGAGAGACCGCGAGGCAAAGCTGGGTTTTCTGATGGTTGGCTTGGTGGTGACAGAATCGTGAGGAAGCTTTGCAGATAGGCAGGAAATGACCATCAGAAAAGCAGCAGGAATGGAGGGAAATAGACCTAAATATATATATATATATATATATATATATATATATATATATATATATATATATATATACACTAAGCGGGCTTGGAAGTTATATGTGAGGAGTGGGTTTGAGAGAGGAGAGTGGAGGATGTGAGTTTGGGCTTCCTGGGATAGGGAACGTTGAAGAGGAGTGAGGGAGGGTTCTGTGTTCAGTTTTTGATGTCCCAAATTGCAGATGCCTGTGGGATAGCCAAGTGGGTGTGTCACATGGGCAGTTGGCTGTCAGATCTGCATACAGATAAAGAGAGGCTCTGGGTCTCGAAATCAGCAGCACAGAGTCATAAGCACACAAGTAGAGGAGATCTTGAAGAGAATGTAAACTGTGAAGATGAGTGTAAAATTGTACAGGAAGCCTCTTTGAATGTTCAAAGGGGAGGAAGCAATAGGAAGGACCTAGAGTGACCAGTAATAATTGCTGAAGATAAAGAGTAGCAATACAATCTGAGTTCAGTTTGAGAAGGAAATCTGGCAATAACAAATACCTGTAAAATCCAAGAGACATGGCTTTCAAATTACCAACACCTGGGATTTCCTGAACATTTTTTTTTTTTTACTCTCTGAAAAATAATGGCTTTCCTTCATCACGTGATGATAGTAAGCAAAATCTTTCAGTGATATGTAAGATACCAAAAGGTACATGTTATAAATAGGCATATCTGAAGCCAATGACATAATCGTGTGCTTTCCAAAAATATACAAAGCTTCTGGAACCACAACTTTAACCCCAGCACTCAGGAGGCAGAGGCAGGTAGATCCCTGAGTTCCAAGCCAGCCTGGTCTACAAAGTGAATTTCAGGATAGCCAGGGCTACATAGGGAAACCCTGTTTTGAACAACAACAAAAAAAGATATAAAGCTGCTTTCCACCAAATTGTAGTTTTGTTTATAGAATGTCAATATGTAAAAGGTGCTTTTTCTGCTGGCAAATATTGCTGCTATCCATGTGTGATAGTTTAACCATTATGTGATTTCGATCATAAGAGGGTTTTTGGTTTGTTGTTGTTTTTTTGTTTTGTTTTGTTTTTTAATCTCTCACCTGACTCAGAACTCCCTTTTTCTCTTTTTTGGAATCAGGCCCAAGGACAGACCAAACAATGAAGATCCATTTCTCATCATTAATATATTGGTATACTAATGCTACCAATATATGACTATTATATAAGGACATATTCATTAATATAAGGACTCAGATGGCTTAAACTTGCTTTGTTTAAACAGTCATTAGCACATTTCTTCATGGCAGATGCAATTGATCTAGAGTGCTAACGTGTTCCTTTGCCTCACAGGGTTCCATAGGGATACAAGGCCCCCAAGGTCCACCTGGAAAAGAAGGTCAAAGGGTAAGTAAACTGGGAAGATCTGGGAGAGTTTGCCAGCTCAGGGGGTAATTACTTTTGAGCACTAATAAAATGAAATAAAAACAAGCAAGCGGGTGTGCATAGGTTATCAACCAAAAAAGACAGAAACAGAAGATTAAAGATTTTGACAAAGGTTTAACATCAGGAAATATGCATGTTTTCAAAATTGGCAGCACAAATGTACAAACCATTATTTGTATAGAGTCAATTAGCCCTCATTTGGTCTAGAATACTTTGGTCATGGCTTCTATTCCTTAGTTAAGTCGAGGAGTGTCTCAGTGGAAGTCCAGGCTAGACCCACATTCTCTATAAACTGCAGATGGTAGCTGTGCTCTCCACCCAAATTCACTAGTTGATATTCAGGACTCTTTGTAACTCACTATTGATTCTAACTGAGATGAGATAGACAATAGAGGAGTATCCACTTTAATTGAAAATACCACAATAACTCTGTCTCTGGCCAGAGCTGAGTCTCTGTGTCTCCAGCTAAGGGAAGCCCTGAGGGGTTCGAGCAACTGGTCTGCTTCCCTGGGACTCTTGACACACCAGCCCTGGGTCATTTTGTTACTCTCAGTTGACCCTGGAGTCTCACATGTTTTTATATGCTTTCTCGTATGATTGATTATGATGTCTTTCTGCTACATAAACCAGGCATTACATCATCAACTCTACAAGGCTAGGGACAAGGTTTCTGTAACATGGTTTTAAATGACGTGGCATCGGCTGCCGAAATAGAGGTCATGCTTTCTTTCATTGTTCAGGGTATATTTTAAATAGTTCTCATGTGTTCATATTAATCTTATTTCTACCCTCTGTGAAGTAAATCCAGTCTCTCAAATACATCACTGTACTCCAAATATTTGAAGACCAATTTACAAAGTTCTGCCTGTGGGGGTTAAGAAAGAAACAATTCTCTTTATTTATTGCTTTCGTTTTCTGTGTTCCTGGGACTGCGCAGGCTGGGAGTTTCTCCCAGGAAATACTAATTTACCCTCTGCAGGTATCAAGAATGGGACTAGAGATGTGCAGTCTTATCAGGGTGCAGTTGGAAAAGGCAGGTAGGCCCTACACCATGGGCAGTTGACCCCCGCTTCAGCCTAGGACGCTGCTTGTCTGGAATGATGCTTTTGGGTTTTCGCTGGTGTCTGCTCAGGTAAACACTGCCCTCTTTTGTTTTAATGAGAGCATCTTCCCAGTTCATGCATTTCCTGCTGTACGGTTGTCTGCTTATGTTACAGTGTTGAAGCAATCCTGGATACAGTTCCTCTTCTGGATTTCAGTCTCTAATATTTTATTATTTGGGCATTATTTTCTTACGAGTTTTGTTGTTGTTTTAAAGTACATGAATCCCATTCTTCAGTTAAACAGCTCCCATCCTCTGTGTCATTGAAATCGCTAAAAAATTCTGAACAGAAACGAACCTGACAACTAGGTAACACCAGCATAGCCTGCCATTTTGTCATGGGCTTGAAACTTGGTAATCATAGCACGTGCAAATGCATGTGAACTCTACTTCCTTCTCACCCACGTTTCTTAATTTGGTTTGTAAGATAATTATAAGACACTTGTATCTACTAGCTGAAGTGAGAAGGTATTCAAATGAGGGTTTTAAAAATGATATGCTTGAAATTGAAATTGTACCTTATCAAAGCTTGTATTTCCGAAGATAGGTCAAAGGATAATTGAAGCTGATGGATTTTTCATAACTGTAGAGGCAATTGTTTGAACTATATAGCTCAATTACTATTTTAATACAAAATACTCCACTCATAAAAGTGTGTAGTCCAAAATATTTTACGTTACTATTTTCTCTGTGAAGAGCAACAGCATCAGACAGTAGATAATATAACCAATTTTATAGTCACTGTTGTGTAGTGTTTGTCCTTGTTGCAGTGGTAGATATTAGTGGCACTAACCATATTTAAAAATAATTTCTGAATGTGTTCAATGATGTTTCTTCACCATATAAGCTACTTAAACAGGAAGTGAATTAATGTAAGGAATACACTCTTGTAGATTTATGTTTATGTTCCTAAGTAGCAACATTTCTCTTCTTCATGAGAACCATTCACTATATAGATAGATGACTTGTAAACATGTCTGTGCACACACATACAAACACACACAAACACATACACGCCCACATGTATGCATACAAATATACATGCACTTTTAGAAATTAAGACTTATAACTATAACATTCAATTGAATTTTTAAATAGACTTTTATAGAAAAATCCATGGCTGTAAAAAAATGTATTGATCCACTGTCAACAAACATGTAAATTTGACTTCAGGTATTTGACTCTTGCTAAGATTGTTAAAATGGAATATAAAACATGTGGCAAGGCCCCAGACTTAACTTCTAGACACGTTTTTGGTTAAAAAAAAAAGTTTAATGGTAGGTGAATCTCTAACTTCTTAGACTCCTTCCATAATTACACACATAGTAATATCTCACAATTAAGATGAATGCCAAATATTATAGAAGCACTTAAATATTGCTGCAGTCATTTTTATTGACATACAAAATTCTGGTTAAGGAAACACATACATATATTAAATATATAGGTATTGAGGAAATACACGTACACCTGTATAAAAAGATATACATATACATATATACATGATAAAAATATTTCTATCTAGTCAGTGAGAACAATGCTTTTACAGGTAGTTAAACAACTTTTTGAATTTTTAATTACTTGATTTTATTTATCTCTTAAAGCTGTTAGACATTAGCTTATAAGCTATTCACTTAATAAACTATAAAATTAATGTTATTATATTTAAAGACTGATCCTAACTTCAACTATAGTCTATGGCAATGTATATCTGAGATTTATGGGGATGTTTTTTCAACCTGATCTTCGTCTTTGTTTTATGCCATTTACCTTAACTTTTTGAAATCTTGAAGGTAAAATATTTGACTGGCACTTTTATTGTTTCTTCGGGCGTAGGAGGGTGTCCAGAGAGGGTTTCTCTGTGTAGCCCTGGCTGTCCTGGAACACTTTCCGTAGATCAGGCTATCCTCAAACTCCCAGAGATCCACCTGTCTCTGCCTCTAAAGTGCTGGAATCATTGCCCGGCAGTACTTTTAATCTTGTACACTTTATCAATCAACGCAAGTTTTAACATTTAGCTAATGATAAATATTGATCTTCTACTATGGATACAGTGTGTTTGAGAGTGGAGAGGGTGGGCCACCTATGTGGAGGCCTGGAGAGTGTTCTTCCCATGGTGACAACAGAAGAAGGAGCAGACAGGAACCCAGGACAAGAAGTCAAAAGGAGAGTGCTTTAACCGTTATGGAGGAGTCAGTAACTGAGTCAAACTCACACCAGGGGCTAAAGAGATGTGGTGGTGGTTAACAGTCATTCTGCACTTTCAGGAGTCCCTTGCTCAGTTCCCAGTACCTACACAGTGTGGGGTTTTTTCATAAAAGAAATTGTTCTAAGTCTCTTTACAAAAAAAAAAAAAAAGTATGTTTATAGTGAGTCAGCTAGTTACCCCATTAAAATGCACTAAAATGTGTGGTTCGACAAAGATGGAATCTCATACTTCTCTGTTACTAGAATCTAATTTTAATGCTGGACAGAAATATTATTTCCAATTTTCTATACACTTCTCCCCACCCCCCTTAGTCATTATACATTCAGGTTATCCTGCGTGCCTGTGCCTGTGCTCAGGCTTGGAAACCACTGTCTTGATTGCTCTCTCTGATATCGTGGTGCATACAGATCTTACTTTCCCTCACAGTGCTAGGTCCCAGCCCTGTCCAGTCTCGGAATCCCTTACATTCTACAGAGCACAAAGAACTGGAGCCACTCAGACCGCACCCCTGTCAGGTGGTAGCCCATTTCAGTTGCCCGGGTTTGATGGCAGAGGAACAAGATCAAGTTTCCTCCATGATCCTGGAACCAGCAAAACCATGGGAACACAGGGCGAGTAGTAGCATGTCTGCCTGCTTCTCATGGCCCAGGCAAGGTGCTGTGTGTGTTGTAGAGGTTGTCACATGGACTCTGAGTCCAGTCTGAGGACATTTAAATCCTAGCTTTGCCGCTAACGAGCTGTGTGGTCATGAGTGAGTTCTTTGCACCTGTTACCTCGGAGATGCTAATACTACCCAACCAACAGCTGCTCATAAGAAGGACGAGTGCCAGAAAACACCATCGTTGCCATTTCCAGCCTGCAGATGCAGAGATGCTGGCGAAAGGGGAGGCAAGGCGACTCTCAGAACTTGATCAGGGTTGATTGATCGAAAGATTCCATTTGAGAAAACGACTTTTCACTGCTACTTCACTGAACCCATTTTACCTCACTTTCCCTTGAATTCTTGCTTTTTCTGGATGTCTGTGCCCATGTTTGACAGGCCTGTGATAAAGACCAGCATTTATGTAGCACGATAAAATTGGGTGTTTCGGAAACATTTATAAATCTGAAACAGATGTCTTTCTTCTCCTTTAAGGAAAAGGCGTGAAGATTGATGTCCTCCTTGTAGGAAAGCTGAGGCTTCGGTCTTTGCTTTATGAGTAAACGGTGCTTATGTATAAATTTACCAGGATTTGCATGGCAAGCACTTAGCTTTCCTTCCTTGCTTGTGTCTGATCTGGTTTATACACCTTACCAAAGATAGCCATAAATAACACAGATGATGTTCTGATAATTACTGGGTTTATTGATCCCACTAAGATAAATGCCATCCAAATCACTGATTCCAGGAAACCAGCAGATATTACAACACTTATTCAAGCCAGGTTTTCCTCAAGCTCATTTGTTTCTGTGGTGCTTAGCTCAGTTTTCATGTGCAATCATGCCTCTGTACCGGTGGCTCTCAGTCTGTGGGTCTTGAGCCGCTTAGGGTCACAGGGGTCTATATCAGATATTTACATTACAATTCATAGCAGTAGCAACATTACTGGTATGAAGTAGCAAAAGAAATAATTTTATGGTCGGGGCTTCACCACAACATGAGGAACTGCA